TGGGGTGGGGTGGGCGGGTGAGCAGGAGAGTGTGTGGGTGTTGACGTCGGGTCTGGAGGGCAGTGGGGTGTGGGTGGGTGGCTGGGCAGGGCGGAAGCGGGAGGCGCAGGCTGAGGAGCGAGAGGCCGCGGGTGACGAGCGGCGGCAGGAGTGACGAGGTGCCCGTCCGACTCCTCACCAGTACAGGTTCCACTCCAGCGTCTTGGTGAGGCGCAGGTGGCGGCGCAGCCCCGGGATGGGTACGTTGAGGGCCAGCACGCCCTGTGGGCAGGCGGGCGGGGGAGCGGGGTGAGCAGGGGGGCGGGTGAGTGAGGGCTGGGAGCGGGAGGCACGCCCGCGCTCGAGCGCCGCGCCATGTGCACCAGGCTGGCGGCCACCGCGGAGCGGGGAGGCCAGGAGGCACGCCCCCGCCCGACCGCTTGTGCCCACACACTGGCACACGTGGCTGGGACCCCGCCAACAAGAGGCGGGGGCGAGCCCGCGCCCACATTGCTGCACGCCCGACAGACAGACAGCACTGCCTGGCAGGGCCACTGGTGGCATGCCCTCCCCGCCCCCTCGCACGGGAGCGCACCTGCAGCACCCCCAGACCCCCCACCCCCACACATACATACACCCCAACCATACTCCCACCTTGTTCAGCATGCCGATCAGGTAGTTCTCTTTGCGCATCACCCGCGCCACAATGTCGTGCTCGCTGAGGTCCCGCGCCATGCACAGCCGGTGGCGGCGCTGGACCTGCGGTCAGGGCAGGGCAGGGCAGGGCAGGGCAGGGCAGGGCAGGGCAGGGGAGTCGAGGAGCGTGGCTGTGGCTGGCCTGGCGACGGGCTGCCTGGCGGTGGAAGGTCAGTAGGGAGTATCCACAGTGCTGCTGTGCATGTGCTGCTGTACACAGTGCGGCAGTACACGTGCTGCTGTGCACAGGGGGCCGCACATGCAGCCAGGCAGGCGCATGCGGGATGCCGAGGCGGGCGCTCACCTGCACCAGCCTGTGCGCCACCTCGGGCCACGTCACCGTCCCCATCTGCCGCTCGCTGCGGGCGGGCGGGCGGGGGCAGGGCAGACTGGGTGGTTGCGTGCCAGCCCAACCCAGCTTGGCTGCAAGCGCCGCCTGCTGCCTCGCCTCCCCAAGCTCTCACCACAGCTCCAACAAGCGGCACTCCTCCTCCCCGCCCTGCTCTGAATTTGCAGCACCTGCCGGCCCGTCGCCCCTCTGCCCTCCCCCTTGTGCAGGCGGGCACAGCGCGGTCCAGCACGCAGCCCTGCGCGCCTGGCGCCCCACCCGGCCTCACACACAGGCCCCGGCGTACCTGATGCCCAGCTTGTGGTTGCAGAAGTGCTTCACCTCAGCCAGGTCCCGCACCTCATACACCAGGTGGGCCTGCACAGGGGGCAGGGAGGGGCAGCCGCGGCCGGGACAGCCAGGGGTTGCGCAGCTGGAAGGTGCACGAACGTGACCGCAGCAGGCGCGGCCAGCTCGCGCCAGGCCGCGCATGGCGGGGCGGAAGGGAGAACAGCGGGGGGCCGCAGGAGGTGCGGGGGTGCAGGGAGGAAAGGAAGGCAGCGGGGAGCCACGCCCGCGGCGTCTTTTGAGCGTCCTGAAACCAGCCACAGGCCCCGCAGCCGGCCCACCAGCGCCACCAGCCAGTAGGCGGAGAAGAGGAGCAGGTAGGCGACAGCCAGGCCCGTCCACACGCCGAGGCCGCCCGCCAGCGGGTGCTTGCGCACGGCGGCCTGCAGGCGAGGGGGCAGGGGCAGCAATGGCACATACATGAGCGTCGTGTTTGGAAACAACCATTCCACAAGCACATGCTGCACCTGCATCGCGTGCCTCTGCTCCTGCTGCTCAGCGCTCTGCGCCTGCCCCTCCGTGATGGCCCCACATGCGCTGCATGCGTCCTGTACCGCCCAGCCTGTACCACCCAGCGGTACCGCACCTCCCAGATGTCGCAAGTGTCCTGCTTGAGGCACTCCGCGCGCAGCGCCCCCCAGTCCACGTACAGCAGCAGCAGTGCCGACATGGCCACTGCAGGCAGGCAGGCAGGCAGGAGGTAGGCAGGCAGGTGCCCGTAAGCAATGCACCGCCCTGGGCGACAGCAAGCGGGCAGAGCGGGCAGCTCCTGTCGCAGGCAAACGAACCAGCGGTTGCCCGCCAGGCCGACAACCACCCCCTGCCCTGCCACACAACGCTGCGCGTGCGAACACACACACACAACGCGCGCGCGCACACACACACACACACACACACACACAGCAGCAGCAGCGGCGGCGGCGGCGGCGGCGGCGGCGGCGGCAGTACAGGGCGGTACAGGGCAGCGCCCACCTGTGAAGGCCAGCGCCAGGAGGTTGAGCACCCGCGAGGTGAGCATCACCACAAACCCCTTCTCCTCCCAGTACCTGCAGCCGCGGTACAGGGCGGTACAAGGTGGTGCACCAGGCTGGCCCTCGCGCCTATGTGCCTCGGGCCCACTCCGCACCAGCTAGCACGTGGAATGGCAGCTGAACTGCCACCGATGCGCACAACAGCAGCGGCAGACGGGCAGCTCAGGTGGTGGCCAGCCCGGCAAGGTTCTCACCCCCTGCTAGGTGCTAGGGCAGCACCCACCTGTATATGCGCGTGAAGAACTGGTCCAGGTTCGGAATGGCCTCCCACTGCCACTGCTCCGAGCCGAGCAGCGCATCGGGTGGCGCGCCGCCCTCGCCCCCGTCGCCACCGTTGCCGCCCTCGGGCATGCTGCAGGCCATGGCGGGCCAGCAAGGGCCAAGCCGGTGGGCGACAGCAGCGCAGCGCGAAGCACGCAGGGCAAGGGCAGGGGAAGAGGCAGGAGCAGCGGCAGCAGCGGGCGGCGACGGGCCTCACCTGGGCAGCGGCTCATAGTGCGCTTCCATTGAGCGCTCCAGCAGCTCCCAACCACCCTGCTGCCAGCTTCGATATTAGGGCTCGGCTCCGCTCAGCGACAGACCGCTCCTGACATCGCGCCCTGGAGCCCGAGCGCGCTTGTGTGGCAACACTACTGCCTGCACGTTGGCTTGAGATCAGTCCAGCTCGCTGCCGGGACGTGCTCTGCCTGGTAGCGCGCGAGGCAAGGTTGGCTGTCGAGCTCTCAGGCGGGCACCCAGCCAAGCTGAAGCGGACTTAAACACGTGGGCCGTTGAGCTAGCACATCGCCGCAGGGCGACGCCAGTGGGGAGAAAGCCGCGGCGCGGCGCCCGCCGCGCCACACGTGCGGCTCGCCCCGCCCTGCCTGCCGGGACCATTATCCGGGCCCCATAGAAAGAGCACGTGGTTGCAGAACCTGGCGTGGGCAGCAATTACATGGCCATGAAATTTCAAATGGTGGCAATAAAGCAGGGGTGCGGCAGAGGCTGTGGCTGCCACAGCAGGGCAGGCGCACTGCCGTGCCGCTGCGGGGCGCCGAGGGCAGATGCCGTTGCACGGGTCTTGCAAAGCACACACAGGCAGTGGCAGCGCACAGCGTTACCACATTGCTTGCCGTGAATGCTGGCGGCTGCGGCCGCACGTGCACGCAGCCAAGGGCGGGCTGCAAAGTTTAAAGCGGCCTTGGGTGGGCTGGCAGGCAGTGGGGTGTGCCCGCCGACTGCGTTCCCCGAGCCGTGAAGCCTGGCCGGCCTCCGCCTTTGAAAGCTGGGCCTGGCCGGGACGAGGGGCGAGCCCGACACGCCGCGCTTCACTTCTTCTTGGTGCTGCCGCGCACCGCGACGCCCTGCGTGGTCACCCCCACCACGTCGTGCATGTTGGTGCACTTCTCGGGCTCCCAGGGCAGCTTGGGGTGCTTGGCGTCGTGGTGGATCTGCAGCGGGGTAAGGGAGCCCAGTGCGGCAGGCGTGAGGGGCAGGGGCCGAGCAGGAAGAAGCACAGCACGTGCGGCGTTGCATGCCCGCCACGCGGCGCGGGGCGCTGGCGCCCACCTGCATCGTCTTGAGGTCTGGCGCCTGCTGCCCGCAGATGTGGCACCTGCGGGTGTCCAGCGGGGCCGGGTTCCAGGTGAGTGAAAGGCAGCCCCGCCCCGCGACAGCAACAGCAGCAGCTGGCAGGGAGCGGCCTCTTTGGGCTGCACCCGCGCGGCGCTTGCCAGGGCGCCGCACTGTACGCACGGCCGAGCTGCTGTCGCGGCATTGCTTCTGCGTTTTACATTCCCCCGGCCTCCCAATCTCTTGCTGCAGCCCCCCCACACGACCCCCACTTACTTGTATTTGGCATGCCCCGCCTGCCCGCCCTTGCGGTCGGCCAGGCCCGCCTTGCCGCCCCCAGCATTCTGCAGGGCGGCCTTGGCCTTGGCAGCCAGCTCCTTGGCCGTGTGGTGGGCTTGCTTGGCCTTGGCCATGGCGGCTGCCTCTGCTAGAAAAGGTTGAACGGATGCTGCGGCCTAGTGGCACGACGGCAGCCCTGTGCTGCTCGTTATGGGGAAACCAGCGACCGCGACGGCGCCGCAAACGGAGCTCCTCAAAGTGGCGGCTGGAGTGGCAGGGCAGCGCGCAGCGGCTCCGGAGCAACAGATAGACAGGGAAGCAGCCTGCAAAGCCGAAAAACCGGCAGCGCGGCCCGCATGCTTTGGCTCCCCTGGCCATGCATGCATGAGGGCGCTGCCGCGCAAGCGGCGCCCGTCGGCACCGCAAGGTGGTGTGGTGCTACATGTTGACATGGTGCCATGTGTCAAAGGCTTTGTGTATGTTGGAACATGAATAAAAAATTGAACAAGGGAGGAGGACGAAAAATGCCAGTGCCATCCGGCATGCAACGAACGGGGCAGGAGGCAGGCGGCATCGGGCGGACTGGTTGAACCCGCATGCCGCCGCCGCCGCCAGGGGCTGGCCGCGCTCAGCTGATGAACATCTTGAACACCTCCCGCGCCTTGCCCGACAGCTCTGTGAAGGTGAAGTCCGGGCTAGCGCCGC